ATGGAACGGAGGGAATCGATGGCATTTTGGCTTAATCGTTGCACCTTGAGCCTGCGATGCGCTAACGCAAACTCGATTTCTCGACTACGAAAAAAACAGAAAAAGAGGGATTTAAGACACTTGGCCTACAGGCCAGTGTAACAAGGAGGCAAGGAGGTATGTATTGTCTCCCTGTATTGTCATTTGCGCGCGGGAGCACCCTCCTTGGTTTAGAAAAATCCATTGCACGATCCCCGTGTAGATGAGGATCGTGCAATGGATGTGGTTCCTTCATGCAGGTTTAACTGTATATCATAAATTAATATCCAGAAAGATTAATATGCAGTCTGTATAGAATAACATTTCTCTAACAATATAATATTCAATAGTTTCCTCTTTGCAGCTCGTTGGATATGGTCACCATTGAAACAACCTACGTTCACTTCGCCTCCCATATTCGAGCCCAAGCAAATCATTACATTAGCACGTCCTACCTCAGTTCACAAGTTTTCTAAACAATCTGCAGCTGTCAGCAGCAACGAAGACACTAGGACTTGTAATGATGTTCAGGGACATTGTAGGAACGATTGTGAACCGAACGAGTACGTACGAGGACGATTTATGTGCGATAATCCAACAAACTGTTGTGTTGTAAATCAGTGAACACGAAAAAAATAGATTTCTTTTAAAAAATTTGACTAATTTATATACAGTATATGACTTTGGCACTAATATATTTCGTAATTCTTATAGCATTTAAAATGGAAAAGCTAAATCGAATATCCTACATATTGACTGCATGTAAGATAATCTTATACTTTATAAGTCTATAAAGTTAAGTGTTACAGAATAAATGCGAGGGAAATGTTGTTCAGCATACCGTATATATTGTAGAGTGTGGGTGTTGTGTTTGCTGTATTACTATATGTCTTAGATCTTAATTTAGTTCATCGATACTTGGCTGATCAGTGTAATGAGCTTTTTGCTTGCTATATAGTCACTTCAGGTGGCAACACCAGCATTCCAACTTTCCCAAATTAAAACAATTAGGCCAAAGCTATCTACATACATTTTAGACGGAATGTTTAATGAAAATGCCTTCCTTCTCCTATCAAAAATGTTTTATTGCTGGTGCAAACCAGCGCTTTGAACAGCCGTTATAACACTCTGTCATGCAAGACGCTAGTCTCTACCATGAATAATAAAATAAATTTATTTTATTTACTGTATTATCCATTATTTTATTTATTTTATTTTATTATCCATGGTCTCTGCCAAGATCCAACAAACAGTTATTACGTACCTTAGCAACGTACTGTTGTTCCAGTTCCCTCTCTCGTTGTAAGAGACGTTCTTCACGCTGAAATAATATTGCAAATACTTCATACATTAGCAAATATTTCAGTTTTTCGTGGTTATATCTATATATGTCCCATGCAATTATCGAAAGCCCATGCATACATCGTACATCAGTAGATGTATAACCTACCTCCTCCAGTTCTTTAACTTTTAGGTTTAGATTCTTTTCCAATCGACTTAGTTTTTCCAGTGTCAAGTCAATTTCCTTCCTTTTTAAAAATACAAAGAATTTAAATGTATATTTTAACCTATAAGCTGCATAATCATTATGTCTTAACTATATAGTTTACATGCACTGCAAGCCTTGGCCTGCATGCATGGTGAAGCCCAGGCCAAGGTATATTTGTGGTAGGTTTACGGTACTGTTCCCATTGGCATTGTCACAAGGCTTGGCTTAGGTCGGGCCAATGCTTGGCTTAGGTGAGGCCAAGGCTAGGCCAAAGTTTACTTACACTACAAAAATGTAGGCCAGAGCAAGAATGAGGTCAAACCAAGGCACGCAGTGTAAACACGGCTCATGCATGAACACTAACCTCCATTCATCTTTCTGGCGAAGAAATGAATTCGTTTCGTCTCTGAGCGAACCTACACAAATAATAGTATATCCATTCATGCACCGACATACAGTATATTATCGCTATTTAGTCATACCACTGAACGGTATACATTCAGCTTACCTATATAGCAAGTCGCAATTTGAGTGAAGTCATCTTTTTATCCACAGTGTATGTATACCGTAGATGCAATTTGTATCTACCTTTGCTGAGCATGTTGTAGAGTTCTTTTATTCGCTTTTAAACTAATAATTGCGCTGTAAAGTTATAAATAGCTACCTATCTACACCGATAAACGATTTGAAAATACAAAACAATGCATGAATACTGGGCGTTTTAGCTCAAAACTAACCGTTGCCATTCATTTTCTCAAGAATTGGAATGATTTCTTTAAAACTTGGACGATCCTTAAAAATATTCATAAATTAAGACTTTGATAGGAAATTAATCAGATAAGTGAACCCTGGACACAGAATAAAGACTTAACACATACTGTAAGTAAAGACAAAGATAACTTACTTTTGGTTCACTTTGCCAGCATTCTTTCATGAGATTAGCGAAGGGACTCGGACAGGTACTAGGTATAGTGAGGCGCTGGAGAAAATAGAATACAATTATACAAAATAAATTAAATTATGCAAAATAAATTAACAACAGAATTTCATGTAATTTTATCTACATGTGTTTATTTTGATATTCTTCCATAGGAGGAAGTGATTAATGTTCATCCCCACCAACGCGATCTTCCATCTTTAAGACAGGGTATTACGTTGTCATAAGAGTAATGCATTACAAACCTCTTCCTTCGTGACGACAAACCAGGCAACCTGAACGCCTTCCATTCCCTTGAACGGAACTTCTCGGGTAAGCATCTCCCATAGTACCTGCAACATTAGAATTAAAACTAGTGAACACTTTATACTATAGCACTCTCAATTAATTTACCCATAACCTTCCCTCCAAACAAACAAATTTGACTTCGTCAATAGAAAGCATATCCAGAAAACTATTTATTGCTGTTTTTCCAGTTCCCACTGTAATATTGTGAAAATTATATCACTCCCAGCTTTTAGTTTTTCAGTCATTCCATAAGACTTTACTTTTTTAACAAAATGCCTGCTGAGGAGTTCGCTCCGATTAACTAGTGGCACTTTCAACAAGAGAGAGTTAGTGGCACTTTAAAACAATTAGATAAGCTCTCGTTAGCTAGCGTTAATATAGTTATAAGAACGGGATTCCAACGCCTTCTCCAATAAAGGCCCATCTTCAGAGAATTACACTGTAATCTATTTCTTCCTATCCGATCTTAAATTTCTCCGAAAACAGAAACCACTCATTGTTTATTATTACACTGGCCGACAGGGGCAGTGTCTTAAATTCGGCTTTTTCTGTTTCCGTCGACTATTTTTTGGGGATGTCACAAACGTGACATTCTATTAAGACACCGCACTGATCGCAGGCTCAGGGTATATATGCAGTTCAGTTCCAAAACGGTGGCCATTCATTGGGTGAGAAAAATGGTGGCCATTCATTGGGTGGGGAAAATGTTTCAAACAATTTCGTTAAGATTTTCAATTTAATACACCCTTCCGGAAAGTATGTCACTTTGGCTATAGAGCCTCGTTTTCGTGTATCTGACATCAGCTAAAGGTGACATGACACGACATTTTTTATTGTCCCATCTGAAAGAATCGTCAAAAGTGGAAAGCAACTTCTTTTGCACATTTTTGTTTACGTGCTTCCTTGCATGGTGGGCTATATTAAATTCAGTTTTCTTGATATGCAGTGCAAACAAATTTACGTCACACTTTGCATAATGAATTATCGTTAAATGTCACGTTATCACTTTTATAAACACATAAATTATCAAATATTTCGTAACTCATTATGCAAAACTGAATTATTTCACCAAGGAAGAATGTAAACGAAAATCTGTAAAAGAAGTTACTTTACAGCTAGTGTTGACTATTCTTTCAGATGGGACAATAAAAAAATTCGTGTTATGTTACCCTCACGAAAACAAAGCTTCACAGAGTGTATAAACAAAACTGAACAGATTTGAAATTGCTCTTAATTTCGCAAAACAGCTACTAGTATCCAGTTTTTTATGTATATAGCTTCATTGGGTACTTATAATGTATAAATATGAAAAAAAATTCTCGAACTCAAATTTTGTGCACCGGGGTGTCTTTTCCAACAAACTAAAAATGACTTGCGCACGAAATTTAGAAGCTTTAATCAGGCTAATTTCTTAGAGAAAAATGAATAGTTAAAGGGGCTTAAACTAAAGCAATTTTGAACAGTAATTAAAAACCCAACAAATTTTCCATCTATCAATTCAAAATATGATTAAAGCTTTTAAATTTCGTGCGCAAGCCAGTTTTAGCTCGTTGTAAAAGACACACCCTCCTGGTTTACAAAATTTGAGTTCGAGAAGTTTTTTTTATTATTCTACATTATAAGTACCCAAAGAAACTATATATATCAAAAACGGGATACTAATAGCTGTTTTGCGAAATTGAGAGCAATTTTAAATCAGCCGTTCAGGGTTTTTTATACAGCCTGTATAGCCAAAGTGACGTACTTTCCGAAAGCGTGTATTATGTTCTCTCTCCTCCACAGAGGCGTTTTAATTAAAAACGAGACTATATAAGTGCAAAACGCCTATCGGTTTTCAATGGCTTTCGCATTGTATCGAACTCTGGACTTTTTTACGAGTTTAGTTAATGCATTTTTCTTCGTGGAACAACTCTGCCATTAATTTGGATCATTCAGTTCCTGTGAATTTACACAATTATATTGATATGAAACAACGACAAGTTTATAGGATTCGTTTTCAATCCGGCGAATATCTTTGCAATCCTTTAGGTGTGTGTATTAGCTTTACTTCATTTGCATGCAGTACAAATATACCAAACAAAGTTTGATCATCACTCTCACAAAACGATAACAAAAACCTGGCACTATTCCTATAAAGAGCGGTTTTAACAGTTACACACTTCTTTGTGTGTTCAATTGCGTTTTACAGTTACAAATTGTTTAGTACTAATCGTGGTGGCATCAATTTCCACTATGGCGTCACGTTAATTTACATTGAGATAGCTGGGTTGAGATAGCTGGGTTGAGATAGCTGCATTGAGATAGCTGCATTGAGATGCCTGCATTGAGATAGCTGCATTGTTTGACAAAATAACAGTAGAATAACATTTTGATTTTTAATTGACGTTTCGATTGGTAGCTGCATCTGTAATTTTACACTATTATTAATCCTGAGGATGACTACTAATCGAAACTAGTCAAAAGGTCGATTAAAAATCAAAATGTTGTTTGGAGTTACGGTTATTTTGTATTTTCTTAAAACTGTTCAGGGTAATTTAATATTCCCCCATCCCTCTTACATTGACGCTCCCCATTCAAAAAAGCTTCCTACGGCACACAGGCTTTCAATTAACGTTTGGGAATATTGTAGATTGCGTCCTGAATACCAAGACTTCACATATGGCGGGATCATGGTAAGTTGGTAAATGGTACCCAGAAGTGCATGGGGTACAGATATTGATACTAAAACTTTGAGATCCCATTTAATGGATACTGAAAAACAGTTCAACTTTCTGACTTTGCTTAGTTTTGAGTTTTGCGTTATATCTTTGCACCAAACATTGCGCCCATTTTACGCGTATCATGTCGCCCCAAACGGGAATAAACGCCTCAGCTGGCGTCTTGTAATTTTTTATAACCAAGTCAACCGGGCATCCTGCATCCTTACTCCCTTGTCTATTACATATTTACACCCTACGGCGCAAGTTGTCATT